ATTACCACCAGACGAATCTAAATTAGTTGATTTTACAAATAAAATATCAAAGTGAAGGTATTTCATGATTTCCAATAATTGTGCTAGACTCTTATATATAATGATCTTTTCACTGCTTAAGACTGTATTCGTAGCTTAATAGTTCATATAAATAAATAAATAAAATCCTTCACTACATGTTCGAAGATTTATATATTTTTGAAGGTCTTGATAATAAAAGATTCGATGATTTCGAACAAAGTATGTATGCTGTATGTATGTAAACCAACACTTGAAAGTATGTATGCATTTAATTTGTGGATGGTGACTAGCAGTGAAATCCAGGATCCTCATTTCGTCCTATTTTGGACTCGTCATCTAGATGTGCCTGCATTTCCCTGTGGGTGATGATATTCCCACCGAGGCACGAACCTAGTGCCCATAGTTTCAAAAGCCAAAGTGTCACCCACTAGACCACTTGGGCCACGAGAGCCACCTCTTGTGCAATGGGTCATATTAATTTAATTGAATTTTTAGATTTTCCCGTCGATTGATTGGACCGAAGTGCTCGGTCTCAGGTTAACATACCGGCCTCGGTGGGAACATCATCACTCACTGGGAATTGCAGGTACATCCAGCTGACGAGTCCTAAATAGGGCGAAATGCGCATCCTGGATTACACTGCTAGTCACTCTCCACAAATTGAATTCTAATTAAATGCTCAGACATCGTCGAAGCATCTGCACAAGAAACCAACATGTCAACCTGAGACCGAGCACTTCGGTATAATCAATCGACGGGAAAACTTAAAAATTAAATTAAAGTATGTATGCATTCATCAGCATTAATATCACAGACAAAGTGCTTTCATTTAGAATTTGACCTTTTACGTCTAATGTTAGTAGCCTTTAAATATAAAGAAATTTATCTTCCTCGTAAATCATCACACAAACAATTTGCGATTACACTTTAGAGGATAATATTATAGATGGACCATAATCACATATAGGAATCCTATATACTTGTCATAGGCTCATTTTTTAAAGCCTACCGGAAGAATTATGCATATTATACTGTTTCTAGTACTATCACCAAGTGTCAAGATGAATCAGTTTTTCGTTTAAATTTTCTTGATATCTAACAATAAAAGTTTTATCGCATTACGAATTTACACTCTGTTACACAATATAACATTGAGTAATTGATCGAATTCAGGAAAGCCAAATCATGCTTCGACCAAATTGCAACTCTACGCATCATCATCACCCCAAATATTCATCAACCTTATTCAACAGCTGTACGACAACGCCACACGTCAAGTTATCCACAACGGAAAACTCAGCGAGGCCTTTGGAGTAAACACAAGAGTCAGACAAGGGTGCTCGCTTATTATCACCAATGATATTCCTAATTGTGGTGGACTGGATTATGCGTCAGACAGTGAGTGGGAAACGAGAAGACAGAGATGTCCTAGACGAACCGACGTGAAGAACCTAGAAGACCTGGATTTCGCGCGTGGATGATTTATGTTTGATGTCACACAAAATCAAAGACTTACAAGCGAAAACCGACCGACAAACTGGTCGAAGAAGCAGCCGGCGAAGACAGGACTCCAGATGAACATAGAGAAGACGGAGGTGACGAAAATAACCAACCAACAACAACAACCACAACAACAACATCCAGCGTCAATCACCATCAACGGGAGGGATTTGAAAGAGGTTACTTCATTCATTCACTTATCTAGGGAGCATTGCCTCAACTACAGGCAGTAGGAACGGACGAGGATGTCAAATCGAGCGAGAATCGGTAAGGCGAGAAACACATTCATCAACATGAAACCAATCTAATCTGGAAATCGTCGTCACTCAGCCAGCATCAACAACAAAATTCAGTCGAATTTTCAATACAAACAACGTCAAGTGAGTCAGTTCCTCTATACGGATGAGAAACTTGGCGGGCGGGTCACAAAGAATATTTCCAACAGCCTGTTGCAGACCTTTATCAACAACTGTCTTCTCTCTATACTGAAGATCAGATGGCCAGGCCGGAAAAAATCGCCATCAAGAAACTATGGGAACAAACAAAACAAGAACCAATCGCCAACCAACAAATATTCAGGAGAAGGTGTAGATAGATTGGACACTCGTTGAGGAGGCCGCCACTGGGTGATATCGCGCGCGCGTCAGGCCATTGGTCAAGTGGAACCAGGCCGAAAGAGAAGCGGCGAGTGGGTCGTCAGTGCGAGGGTGACATGGAGGAGATCGTGTGAAGAGGGAGGAGTTAAAACAATATGGACTAACATGGATGAAGGTGGAAAGTACAGTAGAAGACAGAAGCAAGTGGAGACGTGCAGTTGAAGCTCTATGTTCCACTAGGAACCCAAAGGAACAATAATAATAATAATTGTTCGAAAATCCATACCCACCTCTTTAGCAAGCATTAATTGGGATAATTATGAAGTTCCCCAGATAACTGCCCCAGTGACCATATTTCCGGAGAAAAAAGATTCATCTAGGAACTAATATCTGAATTATCTATCTCACTTTAAAATAAATCCAATCAAAAAACAAAAACAAATCAAGTAAAGGAATATATTTCTTTACAATTAGTTCCTGAACAACAGTTCTACAGTAACATATAGTTTCACAGTTAACATATACCAATAGTTTGGCGTTGTTAATCAATAAAGTGTGTCGGCGGGGGGTGAGAATAATTACAGGATACAAATGAGTCAGTTTATAGAGGTTAGCTGCAAGTTATTACATAATCGATTATTTTTTTCAAATAATGATGATTAAGAATAGTAGTTAAATGAATCTCGTAAGAATATTCAGGTACTACTAAGTTAACGGAATTAGCTGGTGTAGTAACTATAATAAAATAACAATTTCAAACGGTAGTCATAATGATAGGGGAAAAATCACTTGTGAGACTCTATACATATTGTGTGAACAACTACGGCAAACACAAGGGCGACACGAATTTCTTTTGAAGAGAGACTTTGTTTGTTCTGATGAATTGTAATTGCCTCTGCTTTCTATAAAAGTCGATCAAGTACAGGATGTGAAAGCTTGGGTGGGATATGATAAATACCTTAAATGCTCTGTTAGAGCCAACTTGATATCCTGCATCGACGAGATGGGCTACTTATCGCTTTATTCGGTTCTTTGCTAAATCAAGATGGATGGTATTCGGAAACTCGACGATTGACTTGCCTAGTCATACGCCCGATATATCTAGCTCCAAAAGGGCAGTTAGACTGGCAGGCAAAGTCAAGTAGCTTGTCTTCATTGGTTGGTTGAGAACGTACACTTCCATAAATTTCACAGATTAACAGTCAATAGTTTCACATTTTAGTTTGATACACTGTCGTTTCCCTATTAATGCAAAGTAAGATAAGAACTGCTTCTGTAAATGTAAGTCGCATGCGCGAACCGTACTCATATATAAAGGCTAGAAAACAAGAGGAGTGTATATCAAATCGTCCAACGAATTCTGTGACGAGATTATTTTTAACCGGACACTCTTACAATGAGTCACGAACAATAGTACTTCTACCCTTCACGTCACAAGTTTGGCAACTTCAGCTAAGAACATATTCCAACAAAAGTCACCTTTTAAAGTATAAACCGAATATAATGATTTACCCTCGTTCTAACTTAAATTTCCTTGCACAAGTAAAAAAGACTGAATCACGTAAACAATATGTAACAGTAAGGCTAACAAGCTGATAGTACTACCCACCAACTACGGTAATGAAACAGAAATTACTCTCTAACAGAAGCCACAATGAATTCGAATCACGTAATGACTACAAAAAAACATCAAAAGTAAACAAAAAAGATAGAAAGATTATTAGCTTCAAATGAACTGTTTGTGACTGTTATCATTTTTTAATACTTGAGCCAAATTTTCAAATGGCAGAGAAACAAATCTGAATATTATGTTAGCGTCAAATCTGCAGATACAAACGAACAATAGGCAGCCAATGTTATCTTTACGTGGTTTATTATCACAGTAAGAAACTCCACTACTACTCAGTTATACAAGCTACACGCAAATATTGCTCCCCTAATTGATATCTCTGATATTATTTAAAAACTGCGCAGTTGAAAAAACAAACTATCATGACATAACGTATTAGGAAAATGTTTAATGTCTCTATTATGCATTTCTTCTACTTTCTTCTCTTGCTTTGTGTGCTACATGGAGTGGATTGTGGAGACTTGAACTGCCGAACATTGGTGCAAAGTTCTATGTCGAAAACAGACAGACAGACAAACAGACACGAAAACATTTTAACCTTCATTTTTAACTCAATGATGATAGGATCGAGGTGTTTGACATTTATTTTCATACTAGTTCATTCAAACTAGAGAAGTGTGGTTTTTAAATACATTTTTGGGAATATCGCTAGAGAATTATCGATCACATCGCTACTTGTACTTGGAAGTGAAAATCACTAAGTACAGTACTCACTGATAATGGAATAATTCAAAGAGACACACCACACAAAGTAAAAGAAAACAACCTTCTCTTACAGTATGAGAAAGTATAGAATGTATTGTTTTTTTTTCAAAGGAAGACAGCTAAAATCTAAAAGCACTGAACTTGGACAGTTTTCTAAAACAATGAAATCAAAAGTTGGCATAACACAGAAATGATACCAACGTATTTACTGCATAACAGTAAATCAGTCCAAAATGCCAGACAACAAACTTTACTCAAATAGCGGTAAGTAGGATGAAATTTAGATAAAAAATATAAAAGACCACTGAAGGCGTTTTGAATACTTGCTGAGGAGAGAAAATCCTCATTTATGGTAATCGAATAAGTACAAATATGTCTGCATATATGTATAACCGAGATGAAAACAAAAGTCCATACTGAAGAACTATGAGGATTAGTGCTATTGTATACACAGACATGTTCTTATATACACAGTTACAACTGAGGGATATGAAAGATAAAAAGAATAAGGCTACTGTTAAATGTTACAATGAATTATAAATATTAGTCTATTGAAATAAAAACCCAGATTTCGATGATACGCCTCCACTAGAAGATTCCGTGCTGTTAGACTCAGACGATGACAGAGTGGGATTAGAGCCGAATAAACTGAAAATCCCACTTCCACCACTGCCGGAAGAGCTTCCTGGTCCAGATGACTGATCATTCTGCTGATCTGGAGCACTTTCTGGTGGAGGTTCTAAAATCAAGTACAGAAAAGTGATTAGTTAACATCAGTCAGTAACCAAATAGTAATAATACAGAGTTTAAAAATAAGTTAGGGGAGATTAAAATGTCTAATGGAAAAAAATTCTGAAACACAATTCTTACACGAAAACTGCTATTTACAATTCTTCCTAACCTTTACCAGTAATCCCCTGGCCTTAGATTCAACATGTTTCCAAAATGACTCACCTACAATTATGAGGTTGAAGACAAATCAGTGACCCACTCGCAAGTAGATATTTCAAACATTATGTAATTATAAGTCCACTATTTTGTATGTAAAGTAGCAAAAATGGAGCAATAAATATTATTAACAGTTGTCAGCTTATAGGTAGATATGAAGAGCATAAGAGAAACATAAGAAAAAATGCAAAAAAAAGTTAACAGGATTAAATTAATGCTGAAATCTACCCCGAAATTAATCATATGCCTATAAAATAGCACCTGTTAAACACGATTATAAAGTCAAGAATTTCTAATGGATTGGACAAGAAGAGCCCTAAAAAGATAATACCACCTTAAAAAGGAATTATTGTACTTATGAAGAACACTGAGAAACCTAGAGCCCTACCTACAGAAGCATTACTATAACTTGCCAAACTACAAAACTGTCGGCTGTACAGAAAACAGTATACTGGTGTGCGTTTAAGTGAGAATCGTTGATCATCTGAACAAAACAACCTACTATCGCCATTACGTTAGGTACACACATTTCGACAGTCGTTGCTTTTAATGTTTGCACAATATTACTCATTCTTTTAACCTAATATACGTTGTTGGGTCATTATGACAATCACTCTTGACAATTATGTTAAGGTGACAACTCTCAATCGAGCAAGCGAAGACAACTCCACTTTGCACTGCTCTGAACGGTAAGCAGACCTCCTTCAATAGACCAGTTGACCACATGTTCATATCTAGAAAAATGTTATGTTGATCTTTTATTAATATAGCTGCTGAGAAACATCATCCTTTGCAAAGTGGTCAGCATCAACTTACTGATCATCATTTAAGTTTTAATTGCCGTCGTGGAGTTTTAAGTGCTAAGTAAAACTTATATTAAACTACACAGCCCTGTACCAGCAATGGTTCATGCCAGTCAAAGATAATCAACACCTTTATACGACAAATATGTTTTCCCACCTGAAAAACCCTTTTAAGTAGTTGGAGACGATAAACAGAAAGTCAAATACATATAAGAGATGAGATTTTATTTTGATAAATCACACAGTTATACAGTAATATTTTTTTATTATAGCTTGATTCCACACCGTATTTTTCATACAAGTATGAAATTTTCAGCATGTGATATCGGTAGCCCAAATTTTGCACACGGACCATAGATATCGGATGTGCGTCGGCAGGGGATCGAAACCCGAACCATGTGCATGGTCGGCGGGAGTCCTAACCGCTGTGCCACCGACGCCCATAAACTGATGACGTTCCGAGCACAAACTATTGCTCATAATCATATCAATAGTTTGTGCTCGAAAAGTCATCAGTTAATATTACTGTATAAAACTGTGTGATTTATCAAAATAAAATCTCATCCATAATGGAGTTATACTCTACCACAGCGCCCAAGTTTTATACTTATATCAAGAAAGTCCAGCAGTAAGGTATCACTGTAGCGTTAGGTGACGCGGATTTGAACTTCCAGAGAAGCACTAGTTATTTCGAGGTTGCAGATACGCCTTGCTGATGAGTGCCAAAAATCAGTCCAGAGATTCTTGCCGATCACCTTATCTAACGTCCATCTAAAGTGCATCATAATGGCTAGTCACTTAGTTTAGTGACTTCGTTAGAAACCTGGATTAAGTAGTGACGATTTCTCAGTCAAATCTTATTTGGGAAGTACCATCAGCCCCACAGGTTGATCTCAGCACGGATAGAGGGCTAGTTTCGCATATGTTAGTTTACGCCGTCTCTGGCGTAAACGTGATATCCGGCTGGTTATCGATTAAAGGGCGTGTGTACTGCTGAGCAGTCCGCTCCGTCCTCCTTTATGGCTGTGACTGAGATATTGCCACTGAGAGTGGAAGACATGAAAACATTAGCTGTCTTTGATCGTAGGTGCCTGCGTTCTATCTCCTCTATAGTGGTATAATAAGGTGAGCAGTATTGAGGTTAGGCGTCGAGTGCTAGGTAAGGAGGGGAAATCAATCGACGAGGCTGTGAAATTACATCGACTGAGATGGTTAGGACATGTGTTACGCATTCCAGCCTAGTCATCGCCTTCCTCGACGGTCAATGTGAGCTGACATAGGGTCAGGCTGGAAAAGAGTTATCCTGCGGTGGTCAAACCAAAACATAGCACTAGTTAATGAAATCCTCAAGAATTAGTTTAAGTCACATAGGAAGGTGTAGACTTCCTGGTTTGGGTCCTCGGGACGGTAAAAATCACTGGTTGGAAAGAATTGGTGACATGGCTCAAAATTGTTCTCAATGGCTGGCTGACGCAGATGCATCCACTCCTTGTGACTTATGATTTCCAATGAAACTGTTTTCTTCTTCTTTATCACTATTCCTTTGTCTTACACGTCTGTTTACTGTATTTATTATGCATTTCTTCTACTTTCTTCTCTTGCTTTGTGTGCTACAAAGAGGGAGTGTGGCGACTTGAACTGCCGCACATATGTGCAAAGTTCTATGTCGAAAACAGACAGAGAGTCAAATCTATTTCGTAGCTTACAATCATGTATTCATGATATATTGACTACAAAATAGAAGTAAAAAAAAGTTATCTTTACTTAATCTATAAACGAATATGCTCCGTTGAAATTACAACTTCATTATGCACATCCCATTTACAACCTAAAATCATACAATGGAATATTTATTGAAAAATTCATTTTCCAAAAAGATAAATTCCTTGTCTTCTTCACAAACCTAGAAAAACCATCTACAAATTATCAGAAGACTAGTATGACAGAATAAAACCACAGAAACAAGATGTTGCTTGAATTGTCGAATAATAAAATCAGCCAAATGCCAATTCAAGTTTAACACAATCAAAATTTCATAAAGTTTGACATAACAAATTATAAAGCCTCGTTTTTCTCACTCCTCTTTCGCCTCATCCTCCTCCTAAAAAATAACGCAGAAGGAGGCGAAATCAAACAACTTACATCATCCCTATATCAACATTCGTGATTCCAGTTAACAGGATTTATGCACAATACACATACATACTACTTTTAACTTTAGTTTAGGTTTGAAAGCAGCTAGCAGCTGTCTTATTTTTGTTGTTTTCTTCTTTTTCTCTGATTATTACCTTTTGTTCGGATAATGAAAACAACCGAGAACAAAAGAAGAGGACAATAATATCTTGTACTTGTCGTTTTATAAGTGGGACACGCAGACATTTATTACAATATTATTAATAATAAATCTGTAGCACACTGTACTGTAAAATAAACAACTAAGTAACAAGTAATAACAATGAAACAGATAAAGAAACAAAAAAATATATAACCTGAAGGAAAAGAAGGCAGGGGAAAGATGAATAACTCTAATTCAGCGAAACAAGAAAAAAAAATCCCTGAACATTTGGTTGAAGTGAAGTTTTACTAGCTGCGAGTAAATGACATACAGAAAATTACGGCATTATGAGATGAAAATACACAAGACAGCCAGTAAAACAAAAATCACTAGCATAAAGTGATCCACTAACTACAGATCTATTGGTAATTATAGTAGTTATATGTATATGTAAGAAAGTTGTTAAATATTTTTAGATACTGATCATTAAATATGCTTGACAATGATAAAAAGGAATGAAATGGGGAAAGAAGTGGGAATCAAAAAAAAAAGAATGAAGAAAATGTATGTGACTATTACGTGTAGTTGATGAAGAAAATTACGGCAATTATATTTGAGAAAAATGTGCATCGGTGGCTCAGTGGTTAGGACGCTCGCCGACCATACACATGGTCCGGGGTTCGATCCCCGGCCACCAACGCACTCCTTTACCTCACCAAACCAGAAATAAAGTTGGTAAAGAGGAAATGTTGTGCATGAGGCTAGCAAACCTATCCTGTAAAAATAAACACTGCTACAGAAACTTCAAGCCACTATCTTGAAGCCCTATGTTCCACTGGGAACGTGAAGGAAAAATTATTTAATTTAAATTATACCTGAGAAAAAGATTAAGGACACAGAAATGAAACTGTCGAACTTTTGAATGCAAATAAAACCGAAGATGCATTACTCACCTTCAACGAGATTTTAATGTGGATTGTACATCTATCAGTATGTTTGTATAATAAGTGTAAACAACAGCTCTAAATAAAGCTCTATTATCGACTGTACACTTAATGAATGGCGTTTTGAACACAGTCTATTGCAATTATGAACAGTAAATTGTGTTCAAAACGTCATCCACTAGTAATTAATACTGCTTGATTTTGTGATGTACGCGATAAGCAAGTTTATGTAGAAATGCATACTGGCACGGTGCCCAAGTTCTAAATATATGGGAAAATTTTCTTTTTTATACACAGTTCACCAAGAATGACAGCACCAAAGCAAGATTCGACCTGCTTGGCAAGCATTACTGATTTATGTGAGTCGTATTCAGCTATTTGTATCAATCAATCAACAGTACACAGCACCATGCACAGTCCCGACCGAAAGCTGCTACCTTGACGCAGTGGTCGGGCTTGAATACCACAATGAACCAACAAGCTATACTGGTTGAGACTTATGTCTCTTGAGGTCCTACAATGCCAGAAAGGTTGTTTGGATAGCGGTTAGACAAAAAGCAGCTACCCAATCCAATACTATGATTCAAACTAATTCACAATATATCATGCCGGATCGGTCGGGGCTCGGATTAACAACGACTGCGCTTCCTGCTGCCGTGTCACAGGGCAGAAGTGATAAATATGCATGGAGGATTTAATCAAACCAAATCCCTACAAAACCAATACTTGATAAATATGCTACTGAGACACACCAAACAAAAAAGAACAGACAAAAACAGGCCGCGTGTGACCGGCCTCAAGCAATTGTCTCCTGGGCTCTGCAGTCACACGACCAACTTCCACGGTGTGGGTAGCCGGGAAGTAACAATCGCCCTCACAACCCAATCCATGCACAGTACTTTCTATTGACTGTTATTTATAATATCACGCAGAATCTGAATAATTTCGGTTTCCAAAGGAAACTGCGCTCAATTTTTACCTCGAACTAAGTAAATTGCACGTGGCTAATTAATTTGCAAATCTCGAGTTACATCCAAAACAAGTTTGACATACTTGTACGATACACAAATCAGGTGAACAGAACTACTTGCCTAAGGCGAGCACTAGAATTCTTCAAAAGATTTTAAGCTAAAAACGGCAGTTTATATTCGAAGTTACACACAGTCACATAAAGTTAGTTTTCACATTTGCCAAAAGTCGGATTTTTGCAAGTACTATTATTGGAACTACTCATTAACTTAAAAAGTTATCCAATTCATGGTAAGAGAAAACTTTTTAGTGACGCAATACTGAGCAGTCACTCCTGTTACATTGTATTATGAAGTAGACATCCCGATTCGTACACTTGCAAAAACAAAAAAAAAAAATACAGAGAAACAAAATTTCATAATTACACTTACGCATTAACATAGGAGCGTATCTATTCATCATTATTCCTAGACCTTCAATAATTGCCAGTATTACACCACCAACTACTGCTTGGCCAACCATAGCTGCCGGTCCATGACGAATAGCCAGAACAGCTCCAGTTATTGCCCCACTAGTGATTGAATTCCATGGATCCTCTTTTTGGCGAGCGAAGACTAAAGTGCAATCAACTGCAGTAAAAGTACCACCCCAAATAGCGAAAGCTCCTCCCACTAGTGGTGCACGCTGACGGCTGTTAACCATTGCGCTGATTAGTTTCTTGGTATAGCCAGAAGGGGCATTACGATAACCTTTGTAAGAATGTACAATGCTACCACCAATGGTGCCCATAGCAAACGCCGCTCCACAATCACTAACAATACGGAATGGACTGAAACAGATTTTAATAAAAGATTTGAGTATTTCGGTTACTAGTACTCCCAATAGTAAAAGTATACCAATGCATTCAAGTTTACTGATAAAATTTATTTCATGAGTCATTGCTAATATAGACGTCCTAAGGTGACTATAAGGGACTTTTTAGGCCGCCACACAGTTGAATACAATGCTATCATCAAACAGTATTCACGGTAATAATACGGATTCTCGCAACACGCGATACTGAATGGTGAAGTTGGAAATACAACAGTAAAACGAGAAATTCCAAAATAATGATTGAACTACTTATAACAGGTTTAGTAGCATGAATTGAAATAAAACCTTGGCATCCCACTAAGATGTCATTACAGAAGAGTACCCTCAGTTAACAACTGGAATGTGATAATAAGTTTTAAAGGGAGAGTCAAATAGCATAGATTAAAAATCAGTGGTAGGGAACTGGAATGAACTGGATTTTCTACGTAGAACAATGTACCGAACTGCGACAATTTAAGATGCAACACTTCACTCAGTATACATAAAGGTAGTAAAAAGGAAAACACAAAAAAACTATAATAAACGGAAACTGATGGTAGGAATCATCACAGGGAGAAAAACACAGATTTAATGCGTCTGTAAATTCACAAAGACTGAATACATCATAACCACTGAAAAAGACTTTGTAATTGTGCATACGATGAACCGCTTTAACAATTGACGACGCTACTACTTTGTTTCACTTCACCAGCCTCTATGTACCATGAAAAAATTATTATCACTATTATTTCGATAAAACTACTGCTACAAAATAGGACGTAAGAAAAATCGACTACACTACAATTATTTGGTTGGGAACCAAAAATTTTAATAATCATGATTACATGAATGAATTCATTATGAGTCATATTACTACAGAAGCATATTTTTCAGATACTCAAGTTAATTTAAATCTAAAATCTTATCTATAAAACTAACTTCCTTAATTAGGACTAATTATAAAGGATCTGTGGTCCTGATAAATGTGACCGACATCTCATATTTAATCATGACTGATGTCTGACTCCTGCTGGTGTAGATCAGCACAGATTATATCTCCTAAGAACAACTGGTGTGATCGAATACACCCACTTCCCCTCAAAGCCTCCAGAAACCCCGTATTCTTCAGGGTGATCACCTACGAGGACAACAATTTCTGCATACTTTCGATTATGCAACACTAGCTAAACAGCAAGTGACTTGCTGAGTAATTATTAAATCAGCCATCACGTTTATCAGCAGATTCACGATACAACTGAATACGAATAACGACAATATGTGACGCTAGAAAACATCCATGGTTGCAAAACATAACTGGGTCTGGGCAGTGCTGAACTACGTTTTATCCGATTGAGAAACTGTTGGCAACATAAATGGCATTACAATCTCCAAATGCAGCTCAATTGACTGCAGTCCGAATGCAAAACGTTCCGCATACATAGATCAACGCCCACAACACGCATCGTAATAATAATCAGAAGCATTTAGGTTCAGATCCAGAAAACAACAATTTAGGCTAAGTGAAAGTTTAGCTAGGAAATCACCAACATGCTAATTTGCATCCTCTATTCCGTTTAAAGAGATTGCCTTGCAGTCAATCACGGATGGGGTGGATTTGAAACAATTTCGAATTTGCCATGTAGTATCCACTTCTGCTGAAATCATCTTTATTCATGTGCTAAACTTATTTGCTTTCACACAAACAGCATGCAAGCAAGTAAAGATGAAGTAATAAAGGTTAATAAAGCAGGATTTAATGAATTCATCAAATTTCGGTAGAACTCGTCAGCTGAATACTCTACATACACGGATATATATACTTTTTAAAGAGTATTCAGCTGACGAGTTCTACCGAAATTCGATGAATTCATTGAATCCTGCGTTATTAACCTTTATTGCTTGTTATAAATTCATATCGGGAAATAAATGTTTTCAAAAGATGAAGTAACTGACTGCAAGTATTACTACAACGCTACAGTCTGACTGATCTCTTATTGGATCCAACAGCTTCAGTTCTCAGGACTGGATAGTATCATGAATCTTCACACACTGTGTGACTTACAGCCTGAAATATAAACCTGCACCAGTTTACTGTGCTTACTAACTAGCCACCAAAGTAAGACAAATAGATAGAGAAGAATCAGAGGAGACTTATTTTAAATCCCAGGGTGTAGTAAGTACGTTTATATCTATGCGACCAATTCATGGAAGATTTTGAAACATCACTGAGATGCGGTACGCTTGCCTAAAAACTCAACATTTAGCCAGTAGTCCGCCCTACTGAATAGTATCACCGGCCACAACAACGTATGTGGGGTTCAGCCTGACACATGGAAAAGACGCTCCAGATAGCTGAGTTTTTAGTAGCAATGATCTAAATCAGGCAGTTCGGACTTGTCTCTGAGACTCAGATCAGTGGTCAACAATCTCGGAGAAAGAGAATACGTCCCAGTGTTGACATTAAGAGCTCTCTTTCAGTCTAGTCCTAATTTTGCTGACAGTACATAATGAGCAATCATACTACCTTTTGCAACCTAAGGAGATTTACAATCTTTTCGAATGAGTGATCCCTTTCACCTTTCAGACTACACCACATCCCAAATCCTTCATGTGATTAATCCACTGCAAAAGATGCTACAAATATAACGATGAATCAATAAGTGAAGTCTTTGAATATTCTTTACATCAATCGGATATCTCCTGTTGTGTACTGCTGCATATTATACACCACCTCTACTAGGAATCCGCATATCACGCTTGAAACAAAAGCGATGTATTTTAATGAATTGAAGCAAGTCATGTAGACGGTTTACTATTTATCACAAGTAAATCAAATTCCTGGCTGAATGACTAGTTTCAATGTAGAACTTTGCTCATATGTGCAGCAGTTCCACTTGCCACTCTCCATTCAGCACACGAAGTAGGAGAAGAGTACAGAGAGATTCAAAAGAGAGATAATAAACAGAAGTGCGAGGCAAAAAGAATAGTATAATAATTGCATATGAAAAACCACCAAGAGTAAATGCATCTGCTCCATTGACAACGATATTTAGCCATATCACCAACTGTCTCCAGCCTCTGGTTCTTACGATCGCCGCGACCCCAAACAGGAAGTCTGCCTCTCACTACATGACTAGCTTAAACTAACTATTATACATTTCATTGACTAATGAAGCCATGTATTGGTTTGACCACCACTAGCTCCCTCTTTTAAAACCTGATCCATCTTATGTCAGCTGACATCGCCCGTCGAGGAAGGCGATGGCTAGTCATGTATAACACATGTCCTAACCATCCCAATCGGGGTAACTTCACAACTTCATCGATTGATTTCTCCTCCTTACCTAGCACTTGACGCCTAACCTTAATACTGCTCAGCTTACCATACCACTTAACACAGGAGACGGGACGCAAACACCTATGATCAAAGACGGATATTAACACTCAGTTAATCTTTATCACGATAAGACCTCAAATATGACAAAACAGTTCAAGTTGACACACTACAAATAGATGCACTCAGTAAAAACTAATAAAATTTGAAACAGAAGCGTCCGGATAATACAAAAACAAAACTGAGGGGAGTGAAGCAAATAAGGATGTGATACTACCCAAACACAAGGTATGAGCACACTTTCGAAAACGCGATTTATTGTCAGCAAAATAACTTCGTGTTCCCAAACCCAAGTTCCAGTTGTTATGTGGACCCCAGTCAGACAATTTACATTCCCCTACACGACTCAAGCCGATAACCATTGACTTCACAAATGAGTACCAAATCTTCATTTGACTAACTGCACCTGGCTATTCAGAAACAGTCTGTGTGAGATATTCAAAACTATTGCCAATCATCTTAATAAGCTGTTCACTTAATGAATCGGTCATTAAATAATATTAACTTCTCATATAACTCGTCAAAGATAAGCAGGTCTCCATGAACACTAGTAAAATGAATGGTCGACATTGGAAGCTATGGTTAACTGAAGAACCCACAGCTAGAATTACTGAGTGCAGAACCTTCAATCAAAACAACAACCACAAAACTTCCCTCTCAATCAAGTCATATACTTTATGTGAGAGTAGTATTTCGGCACTACCCAGCTAGCTTTTTTTTTCGGGCACATTGCAGACATTTTGGGGCAAAAACTTCGGGTAGATCCACTTACGTGGGACAGTGTCCCGAAGTTTGCCCCAAAAAGTTTGCAATTGGCCCTAAGTCTGCCCCAAAAAGTCTGCAATGCGCCCGAAGTCTGCCCCAAAAAGTCTGCAGTGCACCCGAAAAAAATGCCAGCTGGGATATTGTGGAACATAATTCCATATTAGATGAGCTTGTATCATACAACATACTGCTACTCACTATTGGAAGCTGTATGACGTTTTGAGTTAAATTTTTTAGTTATAATCATATCTATGCATTCAAATGACTTCAAACAGTGCTTTATGTGGTCCTAAGCTATGCTACATTTTACAGAGTAATTTCCATTTATCAGGGATATGTGTTGCATTATTTAGATTGCACGCGTCTGATGCTGATTCTGTGGATGCATTGCAACGGCTCTGAAGTAATGCTATTGTAATGCAATAAGTTTCATGTGTCCATACAATTACTTCGAGACAGCATGAACGAGTGGAAAATTATTCTAATAAGTGATGGAAACAGGTTAATTATCGAAACTCCACCCATCAAATCAACACCAAACACGTGCAATCAGAATGACACAACCCCCATACCGGATACATAGAAAGTTGCAGAAAGAAGCGAAGCGACTTAGTGAGTTATCACGATAATAGTCTACCAAGATAAAAATTTTGTTTGTTATTCGCGATAGATTCTGTTAATGAATTCCAGAGATGAGTGGTAAACGAACATACCAAGGGTCCCTAGCAAACTCATCCATGGCAAGCACTCGTGATTGACTGTACCGAATACAATCAGGTTGTGCGCCTTAAATGAGGACCTAGTTTCTACGTATCTACACATTGATATCCTTAAGTTTTACATATTTAAGAAGAATTTGACTGACTTATAGAATTGAGAAGTACTGCTCGTGTTGGAACTGTAAGGCAACCATGAGAAGTATCCCCTATTCAATGACATTGGATGATCCAGTATCCAATATCCTGCTTACGAGCTAGTATAAACCATTAATTTCTTTGAGCTCGCTTCTTGATTGTGAGGTAGAGGTTCCAGATCTTCGGTGAGCTTCTGCGTAGTAAGTCCCGCCACTCGACTGCTTTAGCTCCGGTAGACTCCAGGAGGAGTGGTGCGGGGATTGGTCGAGATGTGGTTTGTAGTATGCTGTATGTTAGGACTGTATTGCTGCCGTGAATGGAGTTTGACCTAACTCCCTTTGGTCATTCGGTGTAGTCATAAAAGCAGAATAGTAATAATAATAATAAAAATAATAGGTTCTAGTGTAGATAATATAGGTTGAGATAAGTGGAATAATAAAGGTGACCTAAGGAAAAGATAGAGTGAGAGAAGGCAGAATAGGTCGTGGGGATTTAGTTTGTACGCTTATCCATTGACAGTGTGGTTTCAAGTTTTATGAGGATAAGCCATTGAGACACAAACCTTGCATTTCTGCATGAATGTCTAGCTTCCGCTTGAAAATCTCCAGAGATGGCGCTGTAGTCACGGCCTCCGGTAAAGCGTTCCAGAGACGGCAAACACGAAGCGAAAAGAAATGTGATCGCACTCGAGTCTTTGGTCTCTGGTGTGCCATCCTTAGCGGGTTACCTCGTGGATGATGTTCAGTTCCAGTATCCAATTTCCAATATCGTTTTTACGAGCTAGTATAAACCAATTTGATTTCTTTGTGCTCGCTTCTTGGTTGTAAGGTATGGGTTCCTGATCTTCGGTAAACTTCTGCGTAGCTCGTCCCGCCACTCGACTGACGTAGCTTTGGTTGACTCCAAAGAGAATAGTGCTGCGATTTATTATATGTGGTTTGTAGTATGCGGTATGTTAAGACTGTTACTACTGTGAATGGAGTTGATCCCTTCACCAGCTAGTCTTCCGGTACCATCGTCAAATAAAAGAGACAATAATAAAACCTATAATTAGTGAAGTTATTCAGACTAACACACAGAAAAAGAAATGAAGAAAACGTAAAACAGACAACTGATTAATTTTGAAGTTGATGCATATATGTATATATATATATATATCATTAATAATAATTAATGTAGTTAGAGTTGTCGGAAGAGTAAGACGGGAGAGAATTAAAGAAGTAAAACGATGAACTTAGTTGTCCACCCCCGAATGGTGTGTCGGATTTTAAGGGGATTAGTCATTTGGACGCAGTCCTTGTATCGCTGCATGATTGTCCAGCCTTTGCTTTAAAGGCATCCAAAGACGGTGCTATAGCTACATCTGCCACTAGGGACGGCAAACCCGCAGTGAAAAGAAGTGGGAGTGCTCCCGAATCCTTGCCCTCTGGTGAGCTATCCTTCTGGGGTTTCCTCGAGGAAGCTTATAAATTCTCAATTTCAGAGCACCTTTGTTTGGGTGATTCTGGCCATCTGTCATCTTATAGGCAGTTATCAATTCCCCTAAGCCAACGGTAGGTAGGTGTGAATAGGCCTAATTTCTTTAGCCCTTCATTATATGGTTTATTTCGGAGACCAACCACTCTTCTTGTCGCCCATCTTTGATGTCATTCCAAGAGGTTGGTGCCTCTTCTAAGCAGTGTGGGTTGAATAATATTATGCACTTCAAGATGTGGTCTGACGCATGTTTCCTACAACCTAAGAAAGAGCTCAGGAGTGAGTGCACCTAACTGTCTGTGTGAAAAGTGTATGACCCCATATGCCCTCGCTACGTCCTCCGTGTAATTAACGCTTGTGTCCACCCTTTTCGTTAGAACTAGACCTAAGTCGCGCTCCGACATTATGTAGAACGAGCTTTCATTGCACAGGGTGTAACTTGCATTCTGCAGCCTATGTCTGAGTGGTTTCACTACTTTGCACATTTCCAGGTTGAATGTCATACCACTGGCCACCACCCAGTCTTCCATAAGCTTTATATATGCCTGCAGCACATCTGAGCCCTCCGGACACTTTGTCGCCCTCCATATATTTACGTCGTCAGCGTGTAGAAGGGTCGGACAGCTTAGACGGTATGATAGATCACTGATAAAAATCAGAAACATCAGTGGTCCTAGGATAGAACCCTGCGACACTCCTGATGACGAGCTGTGCCAAGATGATCGGACTCGGTTGACCTTAGTGCGAAATGGCCTAACAGCTGGGTAGTCCTTTAACCATGACAGAAGTGGCTTACCTATACATGCCTGGCTTATTTTGTGTAGGAGGTCATGGTGAACTGTGTCAAATGCCCTCTGAAAGTCTAGGAAGACCACATGGACTGGAACATTCATATCCCAGCATGGTGTCCAGTTGTCTCAAGCTGATAGTAAGTTGGTAACACAGGATCTACCTCTCCTGAAACTGTGCTGGGCTTCATGGAGTATATTAGACCTATCGAGGTAATCCCTGATGTGATCGTCAATACTACTTTCCAGTACTTTTGATACCACTGAGATTGGAGCTACTGGTCTACAACTAGTGGCATTTTGCCTATCCCTACCCCAGAAGATCGGAGAAAGAGTGGCTCTTTTCCACTTTCCTGGCAGTTTCCCGAATCCATTGAGTGTTGCAACAAGTCGCATAAGGGTTAACAGGAAAATTCGGCGCACTGTTTCAGAACAGATAGCCAGGCGTGAATCCGCGTAGCTTCCTTAGTACTACTGATAGATTTATTTGGGGAGTAGCCCCTAGGTTTTCCTCCGGTGAAATAGTGGTGTCGCCATTTTGGTCCGTAACGGTAACACCCATGTCAATGAAGGTGAACATTGAAAGTTCGTTTTCGGAACTGATAGCCATTGGTGGGCAACTCAAAGGCGAGAATGGTTCGATCATATACAAGTTTGACGAGGACGACCAAAAACGAATAAAAACTTTAACTGTTCTCCACTTTATTTGCCAAACAATATAACTTCCTTCTAACAATACTGGTGTTTTGGAGTTAAAGTCGAAGAACGCACATAGTATTTTTCGGTGTGGAGCGTCTTCATCACAATAGGAACCTAGGGATAAGTTCCTTGACAACCCACATTGCTGTCTAATTGTTTGGCGAAGGCTTAACTAAATGTTTCCGCCATTCTCAGTCTAGTAAGATTTTGAACGTTTGGGCCTACTAAAGCCCATGCCCCCTGGTTGGTTGGTTTTCTTTCTGACATGAATCGATACAGGTTTTTGGGGTTTGTTAGTTTTTGTCAAGGTTAGCCTGGAATGACCTTCTGTCGCTTCTCACTCTCACCTTGCACCGGTCTCTGAGTTACAGGCATGCGCTGTGGTTGGTTTGACTTTTGTATACTCGCCACGTAAACCAAGCCTTCCACTTCGCTTGCAGGATACATTGCGTACCTTTCTTCAGCCATGATAACATGTTTTGGGCTGTGTTGTGACTAAACGTACGTTATCCGAGACTGATGTAAGAATAATCCCTTCAACCACTTTCCAGTGTTCGTCCACAGACAACTCGTATCATGCTTTGGGGTTTGGAGGATTTTGTGAGATCGGGCCAACCACCAGTGGTAGGGTTTGGAACACATAAAATAAAAGTGCGAATTGAGTAATAGGTAAGAGTGTCAGTTATTGCATAGCAGTTCGTTGCTATGAGCCCATCCCAATCATACAGTATACTACATATTAATAGTCTTCATTACAAGCGCTTCCCACTAGGTCACTAGACACAGAGTTACGTGAGGACATTAGTAGGACTGTTTTCTTTATATATCCATACATGTGCGTAAGTAGGTTCTTACGAACGACGTGGGAATAAAATTTCCCTTAATAATTATAAACTATCGAATTATTCAGCACTATAGGAATTTGAATTTGTAGTCCATTCAGCGGAGTGAAATGGTTAGTGAAGCAATTGGTGATAAAGTTGAGTGGGAAATTCCTGAGGGAAACAACCGTTTAGCGGAGCCTGTTATGGGTTTTCTTGCAGAAGGCAAAGAAAGTTCGAAATTTAGCAGCCTACAGCTTCAGCAACGCTCACCGTCGGTTACCCAACACCCTTATTTCACTTGATTCGTGAAAGAGAATTTTAACGAGACCGTTCATTCAGAATGTATGAATGACTCCAAGCTTTTTTCCCATCTAACTAACCTAGATGCAGCTTTGACACCGTTTGTGGCCACACACAGTGCAGGACCTGAGCTGTTGGCCAGGTCGCACTCAGCACCGCGCCAATTAAAACAGAGGATATAACCCCTAGTGGTCGGTTCACAAAAGTGAGGGAAGTTGCCATGAGTAGGAGGATCTTGTGGAATTTCTAACATTAGTTTGGATACAGAGTATCTGAAACAGAAATTAGGAAAAGAGCAAACGCTGGCCAAGGGAAAAAGTTTGTCCTAAGTGAAAAACTAGCGGTACTATTAGTGTGACCGAACAAACAGTCAGCCTACCGTTTGATAGAAGTGGTGAGTAGTCAAGTTGGTGTAATTACATGACATCCAAGAAAGATATGTGAGATGAAAGGTGAGTAACTGCACATGGATGTATCGTCGGGCCTCTGCAACATTGCATGCTACGGCTACTGAGACCTAGTAAGTGACCACGTGATTCAGAAGAGTGAGACCAGTAATGTAGTAGGAACTATGTTTTCTTTATTATTTATATGATTTAGTCACACAGAGTGCTTGAACGAGAGTTGATGAAGCATCTCTCTTTGTCAGATAAACAGTGCACACGGTAGTTGCTTCAAGGGGGGAATATGGGAGAAGGATCGTCTTCACGCTCAATTTAAGGTACTCAACTCAAATAAGATCCGGATTTTCAACTCCAATGTGTAGTCAGTGTTGCTTACAATACGGATCAGAGGCTCGGCCAGCACGTCATAAAGAGTACCTCAAACAAACTACAGACCTTCATTAACAGTTTTCTTCACTCACTACTCAAAATCAGATGGCCAGGAAAGATCAGCAACAGGGATCTCTGGCAATGAGCGAACCAACCAGGAACCGATTGTGCAACAAATAGACAGGAAGAAATGGAGGTGGACTGGCCACACTCTGAGGAAACCATCAAGTGACATTACTAGACAAGCCCTCGAATGGAACCCGACCGAATAGGAAGCGGCGATTTGGTCGTCAGTGACAGGGTGGGGTGACTTGGAGGAGGTCATGTGAAGAGGAGATGCAAGCATGTGGGCAGACTTGGAGCGGGGTGAAAAAGTTGGGAGAAAACAGAAGGCAATGGAGGTGCGCAGCTCCTCTAGGAATAAAAGGATATAATAATTATAATGTTATTTTTGTATAAGCCATTTTGAAGTTTCTGAAACTATTTGCGAAACGTTTCCCTACTTCTCCCGCATTATGAGGCAGCTGCATTGCCCGCATTTTGTCATATCTAAGGCTCATATTTTGTGACTATTTAATTCTAAGGATTACAGACGTATCAGCAGTCAGTGATTAGAACTAGTGATATCCGTATTATTTTGTGTGGTGGTTTAATCGAATTTTAACGGTGTTGAAATATGATCGATGTGGTGGCGAATCGGTAGCTAATTCAACAGAATTACTGGCCACAGCATTCAAGAAGTTGAAGACTTCTGTAAATGTTCGGGACATACTACACCAGGCCAAATGCTGTCCTTGGAAGACTTTCAGAAACTATGCGTAATAAGTAACACGAAAAACCAGAACGCAAATTGGTGACTCAAGAACCGTTCATTCCTGCACCAATACAGAGCCAACCATTAGGTTATTGTACACAAAGTTTCTGATAGTTTTCCTCTCTTCCAAAGAACAGCGAACGATGAGACGAAGACTGCAGTATTGATGACTCCCGTGGAAAATATATGGAGTTGGGTTTGATCAAACAACCACGAATAGATCGTTCAATCTTCAACTACATTGACAACTTCTAATCAAGAATTCACGCCATTTGGTACGATGTCATGTGCTGTTCGTTCATTCGTGTACGATTCCTAGCCAGTTTAACTATCATCCCGCATTCCGATTTGTTCTCGAATTATAACTCGTAATTTCGACGGTGAATTCAGGTGCTTTGCTTTACCTTTGGTCTACGCAGAACGATTACTGTGGGAATTAACGATATAGGCAGACTGTGCAGGCGTATTTGTATCTGATAAGCTTCACCTTTACGTACTGTTCCAGAAATGGTGTTAAAAGGACACACCTTTATTTTATGTTCTGTTCCTAGGAATTCACTTTCAACATGCATGGTAGATGGCGCTGTTGGTTTTTTAATATAATGCCCAGGAAAATGACGGATCTATTAGGCGAATTTGTGTGTTTTACCTACCCTCTTGTGATAGTGGATACATAAGATTGTCATACCTTGGGTGTCCTTGAAGTGAAAGCCATGACACTTCTGGCATGTTGATATCACATCCAATAATTTTACGAATCAAGGGGGAATGGCTGTCACATTGAAAATGTAGCTAAATGCGTAATCATACTTGCTGCCGGATGACGTGGGTAGGCACACACACCCAGTTGATATGGGTTTACTTCTGGCAACTTTTATTACAACCCAGACCCATCGATGCGTTTTTATAAAATTGAATTGCTGAACTGGGTTGCAAACATGCGTTGTTCGCAGTAATTTATTGCTGCTTCACGATGGCCTGTCTTTCTGTTTCCTTGGAAAAGCTTGTATTTACCATTTCTAAGGCTGTGTCTGGAGGCTTCTCTTGTTTACCGGGCTTCAGCGATCATAATCAATTGAGTTTTGCATGTTGAAACTAATGTACTTATCGTCAAATGTTTTTTGAGAACTGGTCTATCATTTACGAAGAGAATGTGGTGTCTAAGTGCTCTTCGTAAGCCTGGATTCAGATGTCATTTTACTAATTATTATAAATTGTGGTAAAAACAGAATAAGAGAAACAGCAACAAAGTATCTTCCCAATACAGGAACAACAAAGTAACTGAAAGTGTTTAGGAAAAGAGAAAGGTTTTTTACTTCACCTAGATTTTTTAAGCGTTTTGGCTTCATGTGGCAGACCGAAAAGGGTTGTGTTTGTGATAGAGTGAGGAAGATACTGATACAGAAGTAGCACATGTAGCTTTTGCAGTCGCTCGAGACATCTGAACTTACCACTCAGAGATTCAGTGTGGAATTATTGGTTGAATTCGGTTAAACAGCTAGAAGATTAGGTCTCCCAAGCACGTATTTCTTAAAAAAGTTATTTCCCGGCTAGGGAGCAAAAAGCCTGTCGTATTCAAAGAGCTTGTGGCGGTAAATAATTCCTCAAAATTATTAACCATCGCGTCCTTTTCGCGCACGATAACTAGCCAGCTTAGCTTCCGTCTCAGTCCGCGATTTGGTTCAGAAATATATCTCGTAGTTTGGACAATCAACTGTTGTCAGCCACGTCTCGTAAACCATTAATGTCCAGCTCTTGCTACGCTGGGCCTCACGCTGTTCCTCGAAGCTTCTCAGAAACGCTTAGTACGAACGGACGCGAAAACCAGAACCCAGTTTGGTGACTCGACAATTATTTATTCTAACACCAACATATAATCAGTGTTACAACTAAGGTTTCTGACGGTTGTCTCCTGACTTCTTTCTGAACAGCGACCGATGAGATGATGACTGTCTGATTGATGCCTCCGCGAAAATTGGGGAAGTTGGTTTTGAGCTAACAACCATGAATTGATCGTTCAGTCTTCGACTACATTGACAACCGTGGTTCTTTGTTTTGCTTATGGTACACGAGAAATGAATAGTATAGAAGTTATTGGTATATGATCTTGCGTTAGTATATTCCGTACAACTCGCGAACGTCAATACCGTCAGCCTCTAAAAGCTATCATATTCCTTAGTCAATATGCTTCATGTTAATCCAATTCCAAATCTGAGGGGAGTTTAACAGTCGAAATAAAGAATATTTCATTTACCACAGGGGTTGATTTGGTTTGAATACATCAGAAAAAACCACTTCTATTTGATGCCTACCTGCAAATCGACCCATGTTGACTTTGACTGCTTGGTGCTTTTTTTCTTTTCAGAAGTAAGGACTTAATTGACGATTTTGTGACAGTACCTCATAGTGGTGGTTTCCGAAACAAAACTACCTGATGAAGAGATTTTTCATAAATATCATTCATAGCGAGCTCGGTAGCGGCTGTTATAACGGATTATGCGAATAATTTGATGTCGAGAATTATCGTGATGAGATATCTTATTCAGTAAAAATATCGGCCATAAAAATGTTAGCAAGTGTTGGCGGGCATGCAACTGCTTGAGTTATTTGCCCGAAGCGCAACTGAAGCAGTGTTAGAGGGTTCCGTACGAGCGCGCGCGTTTGAAAAGGGTAGAGTTGTAGTGATTCGAACTAAAAAGCAGGCGTAAATTCAAAAACTGGTGGCTGCTGAATAGTGAAGGCCTAGCTCTTTGTTTGCAAATATATACATCTTTTGGACTTTTCTGTCGCGTTCTGCTTCTCACCTCACCCCGTGTGCTTGATATCTGATATTGTCTGTGTTCTATTATAAGTGGTACGTAGTGTGAAGTAAATCCTACCTTTTGTTGTTTAAACCACATCAGAAACTTTTTAGCTGACTTTAATTGATTTATTTAGTTGAAGTGTTGTTCATTTTATTCACATTTTGTGTTTTGGTTGGTATTTACCTCGCTGTTTTCACGTATATATATATATATATATATATATATATATATATATATATATATATATATATATATATAGTTTAAAGGAATTAGAGTTATGGGCCCGACTGATAACTGTGGACACCTGGACTGCCACTTTCCAGTGGATGATGAGATCCAATGTGACAACTGCAGCCTATGGTTCCACAAAGTTTGCACTGGTTTATCACCAGTAGCCAATAAGAGATGTTGGAAGCCATCATCTCCGTGGCTGTGCAAATTTTACAGTAACCCGTTGGATGTCCTCATCCAAGAGGCAGTTGGACTACTGATGTCCAAGAAATTGTCGAGCAATATAATCAAAAATCTTGCACCAGAAATCTTAGCCAACAATGGCCGTACAGGATATAGTTTTAAAGCAGAGAGTGTATCACCTGAAGCTTCAGAGACAAAAGAGGCACACAGTGCCCAAATATCTGTTTTGGCAAAGGGCAAAAAACAAAGGAAATCCAAAAAGGCAAGTATTGCCAGCATGGTAACACCAACGTGTGAAATGGCTACACCAAAGCGCAGTGTGTCTAGTGTACGAATGGCTTCTAGTCGCGGCTAAAACAGAGTGAAAGAAACCGACTCCATTTGGTTGGTGCCGACAGGTAAGAAGCAAAATAAACGTAGGAAAGAAACAGTAACCGAGCTTACCAACAAGGTCTCGACGGTTGTTAATACAAGCCAAACCCCGAAAACCACGGACTCTAGTTACAGTGTCATCATCTGGAATTTTAGGAAGCAAAGAACACAGATCCAGTTGCCCGACACGCAGATGGTCTGAAGGCAGTTAGCTCCATTATCCGGGAAATACTTCTCGATAAAACAATTGGAGTTCACATAAGAGAGGCCATCAGCATCGGAAAACGAAACCCTGATGCTACGGAATCGTCTCGACGACTACTTAAGATAGTTTTAGGGAACAAAACAGAGAGGAACACCATCCTCATCAACGCATTCAAAATCAACTGTAAGAGTTTGAAAAAAAAATCCCTGAATGGCCTTTAAAAGATAGAATCAAGAGAATAGAAGCCGTGGCTGAACTAATGGCCAGGCTAGAGAAAAGCGAATAAAACCCCAAGCTATTGAGTTTTCGGGTGGTGAGGCCTCGGAAACTGATACTGCCGAGACGTCTCTTCATAAGCCGGATGAACACGTACGTGTTTCGGTGTGCTATACGAACGCATGTAGTCTTAGGAAGAAGCTCGCCGAATTAGGAGAATTATCTGAAAGACTACAACCGGATGTGATTGCTATCACTGAGACATGGTTGTAAGTGGGTGTAGACTAAACTCCACTCATGCCTGGGTACATCTGCATTCGAGCAGACAGAGTAAGTAGTCGGAAAGGTGGGGGGTTGCAGTATACATCCAGGATGACATATGGATTCTGTCTGTCTGGATTCAACATAGAACTTGGCACCGAAGTGCAGCAGTTCGAGTTGCCACGTTCCAAATAGCACACAGAGGTAGACAAGAAGATGAGTGAAGAGAATTAATAGAGTTTGACAAATATAGGAGTGAAACAGAATGGGTAATGGTAGAAAGGAATATGAAAGATTACAGAGATTGAATACATCTGCGCCATTGACAACGATTTTGAGCCATGTCACCTATTGTCTCCAGCCATTGATTCCTAGAGTCCCGAGGGCCCCAACCCGGGAGTCTGCATCTCCCTACCTGACTCAGTTTAACTGTCAAGGATTTCATGGATTGATGCCATGTTTTTGTTTGGCCACCACTGGCTCTTTTCCAACCTGAACCTATATCAGCTAACAATGCCCGTCGGGGGAGGCGGTGGTTAGGCATGCGCACCACGTGACCTAGCCATCTTAGTCTATGTAACTTTATAACCTCGTCGATTGATTTTCCCTCTTTGCCCAACACTCTACGCCTAACGTCAACATTACTTATCTTGTGAAACCACCTAACGTGAGACAGAGATCGCAGACATCTATGATCGAAAGCAGTCAACCTTTTCATGTCTTCAACGCGTATTGGCCATGTTTCAGAGCCATAGAGAAGGACGGAGCGAACTGATGAGCAGTACACACGTCCCTTGGTTGATAACCGGATGTCACGCCTACGCCAGAGATGGTGTAAGTCAGCGAAAGCAGCTCGAGCTTTTCGGATCCGTGCTGAGATTTCATCGCCAATCAGTCCGTTGGTGCTAATACAACTTCCCAAGTAGGTGAAGTGGTCAACATGTTCTATCACTTCACTCCCTATCACTAAGTTAGGGGTTGACGTGGTCCAGTCCTGTAGCAGCATCTTACATTTTGCAGGGGCGAATCGCATGCCAAACATACGAAGATTGCTGCTCAAGGTGTTCAGAAGACTCTGCATTTTGTCAGCATCCTCCCCTAACAGGACTATGTCATCTGCATATTCTAAGTCCATTAGATTATTCCCTGGTAACAAGTCGATTCCTAAGTCACTACGTTCAGTTAAGGATACTTCCATTAGCATATCTATGATGAAGTTAAACAGAAATGGGGAAAGTGGACATCCCTGTCGGACACCACTGGTTGTTACTAATTCAGATGACAATTCCCCATAAGCCCTTACACGACTACGTGAGTTTGAATAGAGTGCCTTGATTAGTGCAATGTACTTTCTTGGCACTCCCTTCACAGTCAGACATTGCCATAGTACTTTTCGGTCCACGGAGTCGAAGGCCGCCTTCAAGTCAAGAAATATGACAATTGTTGGACGCCGAAAAGTGTGTCTATGTTCTAGAATCTGTCGAAGAGTGAAGATATGATCTATGCACCCTCTACCTGGTCTAAAGCCTGCTTGATTTTCCCTTGTCTGTTCCTCCCGAGTTCTGCTTAGTCTATGCATGATTACTGAGCCTAGGATTTTAGAGACTATGTTCGTTAGGCTGATCCCCCTATGATTATCACACGAGGACTTGTTTCCCTTCTTGAATATCGGTATAATGAGTGACTTACCCCAGTCTGATGGTACTGTCTCTGATTCCCAGACTTTGCCTAGTACCTCAGTTAATCTACAAACTAGTATGTCACCCCCATATTTAAACACCTCCGGAATAATTCCGTCGGGTCCTGCCGCTTTGCCTCGTTTCAAATTACTGATAGCTTTTGTAACCTCACCTACAGACGGCGGACCAGTGTCTATATCCCATTCGGGTACGTGGTGGATGGCGGGGAGGTTCAGTGTGGCTGTAGGCAAGTTAAATTGTTCCTCAAAGTGTTCTTTCCAGCGTTCAAGGCGTCTATCCTGAGAGCTAATTAAGGAGCCATTTTTCTCAGAAATAGTCTCACTTATGAATTGCCTTTTCCCGCCCGATTCTGTGATGAGTCTAAAGAGTTGCCTAGTGTTGCCTATCGCCAATGCTTTTTCCATCTCTTTCGCCTTTGTCACCCACCACTGTTCACGGTCCTTGCGGAGACTTTTAGTAAGTTTCCTTTTGTGCAGCTTTCGCTCCTCATTGAATTCGGAGCTCGCCGGAATAAGTCTTCTAGCATCTATCAGTTCGGATGAGGCAGTCGAAATCCAGTGGTTTTTACTCACCTTTGGATTTGTCTTATTCACAGCTTTTACAGCTGTATCTATAGCTGACTGAATATTCTTCCAGGCTTCTCCAGGGTGAGCACAGCTGTCGATTCAGATATGCGTTTAGCTAGTTCTTCCTCAAATAGGGATTTAGTTTCCTGATCGAGCTGGGGGCGTAATGGTTTTACCGCCAGCTGTTTCCTACGTCCGTTCAGTCGTAAGCACACACGAGCCCGGACCAGTGCGTGATCGGTATCTACACACGTGTTCCAGAAGGAGCGACAATCTCCTACCGACCCACGCCAACGATAGCTTATTGCTATGTGGTCTATTTGTGTCCAGCGTTGGTTTGATGATGGGGGTCGCCAGGTTAAACAGTGTCTCTCCTTGTGTTTAAAGTTAGTGCTTACAAGAAACAAATGATTATCTGAACAGAACTGTAGGAGACGGTCACCGTTGTCGGTTCGCTGGCACGGAACTCCATAGGTGCCACCGACATCCTTCTCAGATTGACACAATTTCCCTACTTGAGCGTTGAAGTCACCAGCTAGAACGACTATATCTGAGCGTTTAGCCTTTCTCACCAAACTAGACAGCTTTTGGTAGAACTCATCCTTCGTTTCATCCGAACTGCAGTCAGTGGGGGCGTAGGCGGAGATTACGAAAAGGCATCGGCGAGTAGTGCAGTCCTTTCTCCTTCTTACTGATCCGTTCAGACGGACAGCACACATTCGGCTATCTACTGGGATCCAGTCAAGCAATGTCTTTTCTGCCCTAGTACTCAGAGCTATCCCTACGCCAGCTAATCCCCGTGAACTAGCTGTGGCATCTCCTGACACCCTCAAGGTGAATTTTGAAGATTCATCCTGTTGGCCAGGTGGGGTTAGGTGAATAACCACACTTGGGTCTTGTATGCGTGTTTCTGAAACACAACATACATCAATGGCTCGAGATGCCAGGGTCTTAGCTAGTGATGCTTGTTGTCCTATTTGGCAAAGTGTCCTTACATTAAATGCTCCTATATGAAATTGGTGGCGTGGCTTTAGGAGACTATCCGTGGTGGTTTTTTGGCTTTCGTCGTTTTTAGTGGACACAGAGTGAAGAGGGAGTGAGGAGCCATCAAGTAGAGGAGTTGCATCAGTGGAGGAAGGTAAGGTAATAGAGATGAAGATGAAGACAAAGATAAGTGAGGATTAGAGAGGTTTTGTGTGCGTTTTGGATTGTGAGGGCGATTGTTACTTCCCGGCTGCCCACACCGTGGAAGTTGGTTGCGTGACCGCAGAGCCCAGGGGACAACTGCTTGTGGCCGGTCACACGCGGCCTGTTTT